GGAGGTTGTCAGAGTGGAAATTGAAAAGTGCCTTTCCCTCATGTAAGAATCCTCAAGAAAAGTCAACAGATAATTATACTGTGACAATTATACTTGTGACACTCTCCACTCAATCAGACTGTTGTTTGCTTAAGCCTCCAAAGTGATCATCTGTTTGCTTACAAGCTGAAAAATGTCTGAAATGAAAATCACAATTTTACAAAAATATTTAGACAGAATAACACAATCTCTTTTATTTAATAAACAATTTTATAACATAATGGAAAAGATCTTTTTATGTGTTTGAAGGTATTTGCTATTTTCAACATATGAAATTTATTTTTTTATGGAAAAGTTTTTAAGACAGTATGCTGTTAAAGGTATTTGTCAGTTAACCTACTGCTTAGCCTCCATAACACTTAAAAGCAAAGTGTCAGGAATATGATTCTAATGGACACTTTCCTTTCCTTTTTGAGGAGCACAATGCAGGCCTTCTTGATCAGGTGAATCTTCTAGCTTTCTCTCCTCCAAACAATGAGTTGAGGACATGGGTCCCCTTCTTTTGCATTTTTTCTATCATCAACATGTGACTCTGAATTTCTCTGTAGCACTTGAGTCTATTCTCCTTGAAGGTAAAGAGAAAAGTCTGGTGGATCACATGGGATGCTTCCAAGGACCAGGACTAGATAGGGTAATAGCATTTCTCACATTACACAGCCTGGACTTATCTTCATGGGAATCTTGTTGCAAGAAAGTTGGGAAATAATTGGATGATTAAGAGAGGAGACGACAAGTTCAGTGCACAAGATCATTTTTTCATTTTTGCATTGTTTGTCCTAATGGAGCTCTGGGTGGGTGTGCAAGGGGAAATCCAATGTTCTTGCTTGCACACATGGTGACTTAAACTCTTATTCCACAGTTTCAGCTTGGGGAAGATGACAGAGATGTCACTTAGAGTTCACAGCATCATAGATTATTTGAAAGAAGCATTCAGGTTTACTCCCAAAGGCATAGGCTAATGAGGAAAACATTTACACATGTAGACAAAGTGTTTCCTTATTACCTGAGGGAGACAAGGAAAGAATGATCAGGCAGCTCCTTGCAAACACTTGAGAATCACTGAACTAAAAATGGACAGTGGGTCTTCAACTCACCATACCTTCCAAATATTGAAAACACAAACTTGAATAAAATATTCCTAAAAATGATCTTTAGAAAAATGCCTCTCAAAATATCCCACTATAACTTCCCTTGTAGAACCATGAAGAATCTTAAAGTATTTTTAGATTTTTGTCTTCTCACACCCTATCTATCTAACAGATGTTGGTGTTACCCTTTCTCCTATCATTGCCGTCATTGTGAATTAATGTTGCATAAATATGGATTGAGCTCAAGCAATGATAGGGCTCAGACTAGATGTCTAGGAAATGGGGTTGAGTTGGATGTGCCTCTCCCTGTAGCTATTTTACAGACTCCTGAGAGGTATTCTGAGGATACAGTAGATCAGGCCAGGTCTCACTGTTCGGGCTTCTTCAACAAAATAGCATAGACTGGGTAGTTTGTAAAGAGCAGAAATGTATTGTTCACAGTTCTAGAATCTGGAATTCTAAGATCTGGGTGTCAGCTTGGCCCAATTCTGGTGAGAGCCTGCTTCAGGTCTCACACTGTAGAGTTCTTTCTTGTATAATCACAGGACCGGAGAGTGAGGGTTTTATAGCCACATCTTTTATAAGGGCAGTAATTCCATTTGTGAGGCTTCCATACTCATGCCCTAATCACATCCCTAAGGGTTCGTCACCTGATACCATCACTCTGGGGATTAGGGCTTCAAGATAAGAATTTTGTGGGGACTGAAACTTTGAGACCAGAAAGGTCCCTGAAGGCTACATACTTGACATCTGGAAGAGAGGACACAGTCATGCTGAGCAAATAAAGGCGAACGAGCAGTTTCTCATTTCTCGGTTTCTGCCAAAGGAGCAGGCAAAGGACTCAGAATACAAACTCTGTTTTTGAACCTGAAGTAAGAGTTTAATTCTCATATGCCAAATTTTGGAAATCAGACTGGGATGGAGCCCACCATCCCATGGAGGGGAATAAAGATACAGGATGAAAATGGCCATTCCCCATTCTTTGTGAGGAATCTCCAAACACTATCAGGATACAAGTAGTAATTGCCGTATCAGTAAAGATACACCAAACAGTAATGTGGTAAATTGTCTGGTTGCTGTTCACTGTGAGTCAGGGAGAGCTTGAGTTCAGATGTATGGCTATGTAGATGACACCAGGCTGTTCTTTTCTATCATGACCTACTAGAGGACAAACTAGAGACACGGCATCCTCCTGAGTTTAATATGCACGTGTGTTAAGTCGCTTCAGAGGTGCCTGACTCTTAGTGACCCCATGGACTGTAACCTGCCTGGCGCCTCTCTTCATGGGATACTCCAGGCAAGAATACTGGGGTGGTTTGCCATGCCGTTCTCCAAGGGATCTTCCCGACCCAGGGATTGAACCCATGAATTTTATGCATTGGCAGACAGGTTCATTACAACTAGCACCACCTGGGAAGCCCAGGCAAAAGCTGAAAATTGTGCTGCTCTTGCCATTTGAATCCCTAGAAGTATATGCACCTTCAAGGAAAGAGAATCCTAGTGGTTTTATCAACAAACATAGTAGGCATCATTTTTTAAAAATAAATTTATTGATTTACTTATTCATGACTGTGCTGGTCTTCCTTGCTGCTGGGGCTTTTCTCTAGTTGCAGTGAGTCGGGGCTATTCTCAATGCGGTAGCTTCTCTTGTTACAGAGCACAGGTCTAGAGCTCTTCGGCTTCAGTGGCTGTGGCACGGGGCTCAGCGGTTGCAGTTCCCCAGCTCTAGAGCACATGCTCGATAGTTGTGGCTCATGGACTCAGTTGCTCTGCGGCACCTGGGATCTTCTCAGGTTAGGATTCGATTGGTGTCTCCCGCATTTCAGGCAGATGCTTTACCATTGAGTCTCTAGGGAAGACCCTAGTAGGCATTACTGATAACAGCAGGAGTAGAGTAAAAATATTAGCCATTGTCTATTACAATCCTACAATCATACAAGCACGTATGTTCAAAAGGAAGCAAAATAGCTTGGTCATCTGTAAATACCTTCCAGTGGCAGGAGGAAATCTGAGAAACTTCTCTAGTGAAAACTACTTGTTGCTCGATTATACTTGGACTGGTGCCAAAGAGACCATAGACAGTAAGACAGAGTCAAAGATGGTCACAACCTATTGCCTGAAGTTCGGAACATAGACACTGAGGCAACAGAAAATTCACTGTAAAAAAAAAAAAGAAGCAGAACCGAAAGCTAGTTCTTTCCATGAAAAAAATCAATATTTATCCAGTTCTGGATAAATCACAAAGGTGGTTTCCTTTTGTTTGAAAAGAACAGACTTGGATTGGAACCTTGAATGTCCCCTGGGAAATCTGAAATTTAATGCAACAATACAGAGAAAGATTCAAATGGATCATGATTCCTAAATCACCCTTTCTCACTGGGGATGATATGCTTCCACGTTTGCAGAATTTGTTTTTTGGAATATGAACAAATCCTGTCATTACAATGATTTGAGGTACTTCAAAGCTCAACCAGATATAACAAAATTTTACTCCTTAGTATTTTATTTCTGTATTTGGGCTTTCTTATATACTATGCACAAGGGAAGCATTGAGATTGAGTTCAAGGAAGAAAAACAAATGATGCACACAAACAGTGCTACAACCTAAGGTGATTTGATGGTTCACTGGAGAACCTTCTCTCCATCAGTTGTGTGATCTCAAAGTCATATTGTGAGAGGTGGCCTTCCCATACTTATGAGCAACCATTGGCTGTCTTGTGGATGTTGCTTGTGTTAGAGTTTCAGTGTGATTTGGACTCTGGAAATTAAATACAAATAGGAATTTTTATTTGTAAGTAAAATAAAAAATTACATTTTATTATGTAATTCTACTAGAGTTGTTCAACATATCCATAATTGTAGTGAGTGGTAAACAGAAAAAAATGTTAACAATATCCAGATGAATATCTAGCAGGCAGTGAAGTAACCACTGTTTTTTGATATGAAGCAAAATTAAATGATAAGTCCCTAAAATAAATATGAAAGAAATAAGTTTTTCAATGATTTTGAGCAGCTTTGAATGACTTTTATATATACCTATACCTTGGTATTATTATAAAATAGTTATCTAAATTCTACTTGAATATTAAATTTGATAATTCCTACTTATATAAGTAAATATGTTACATTAAAAGTCACTCTGAAAACTTTAGTTTTAAAGTTAAATTAAAATTCAATAGCTCTCAGATTTAAATTACAGCTGAAATTTAACTCTGCACTGAATTCAAAGAGTAAGATTTGCAATTTCTTTTTCTATCTACAGAGTAGAGATAACTATAGGTTACATGAACAGATACACAATATATTAGTGTTATCAAAATTTCATGGGGTGGGTAGGAATTAGAAAAAAAAATATCTAAAAAGGCTCTATGGGCAGAAGAAAGAAGGGCAATAATGAAAAAAAAAGTAGTTGAGAAATTCTGCCCTAACCCATTTGGAGAGTACAAAAGGAAAAGCAAAGAGAAGTGGAAAGTAAGAGGGAACTTTCATAAAATGGAAACCATGGGTTGCTATTTAAGACACAGGCCAGGGAACCTAGAGAGCAGGTTCACAGAGTCACCCACCGCCCCAGGCCAGCAGCATCCGCAAGGTCCCCGATGGCCCCAGCCTGGTCCTTACTCCTGGCCCTGCTGCTGCTCAGCTGCAACGCCATCTGCTCTCTGGGCTGCCACCTGCCTCACACCCACAGCCTGGCCAACAGGAGGGTCCTGACGCTCCTGCGACACCTGAGGAGGGTCTCCCCTTCCTCCTGCCTGCAGGACAGGAATGACTTCGCATTCCCCCAGGAGGCGCTGGGTGGCAGCCAGCTGCAGAAGGCTCAAGCCATCTCTGTGCTCCACGAGGTGACCCAGCACACCTTCCGGCTCCTCAGCACCGAGGGCTCGGCCGCTGCGTGGGACCAGAGCCTCCTGGACCAGCTCCGCACTGCGCTGCATCAGCAGCTCACTGACCTGCAAGCCTGTCTGAGGCAGGAGCAGGGGCTGCAAGGGGCTCCCCTGCTCAAGGGGGACTCCAGCCTGGCTCTGAGGAAATACTTCCACGGAGTCACTCTCTATCTGCAAGAGAAGGGGCACAGCCCTTGTGCCTGGGAGGTTGTCAGAGCCGAAGTCATGAGAGCCTTCGCTTCCTCAACACACTTGCAGGAGAGATTCCGGAGGAAGGACTGACACACACCTGGTTCAACACGGAAATGATCCTCACGGACCAACAAGACCACATGCCTCCTGCGCGGCCACTCAAGGACTCTCATTTCTGCTGTCATCCTGCCCTGAAATGAATCATGTTGTCAAATGTTTTCAAGAATTTTCAGCTACATCATGTTCTATTCTACAGGCACTAGGCCCTCACAGATGCCCAAGCTGATCTATTTATCTATCATTTATTTATTTATTTACCTATTTATAAAGATATAAATAACTTTTGTTCATATAATAATATGTGAATCTTTACACAGAGGTTTCAGAGAAAAAATACATTCTTTGTGTTTAGTCAACTTATTATTTTCTTTGTTCATTAAACTTTCTGAGTATAGAAAACTTCTATTTTTTATTATTTTTTTAAAAATTACATTGAGGCATATATATATAGGGGGTTCCCCGGTAGCTCAGCTGGTAAATAGTATGCCTATAATGCTGGTTTGATTCCTGGGTTGGGAAGATCCCCTGGAGGAGGGCATGGCAACCCACTCCCGTATTCTTGCCTGGAGAATCCCCATGGATAGAGGAGCCTGGCGGGTTATAGTCCATGGGGTCATAAAGAGCCCGACACAACTGAGCAACTACTAACTTTCACACAGGGCTGAACTATCCAGTGGCTCTGGAAGCACAGATGCCTTTGGTGACTTTAGTAAGACCTGGTTTGGCAGAAAAGTAGGGCAGAAACCAGACTGGTGTAGTTTGAGGGATGAATAATAGTAGTGTGGTAAATTTTTTCGTCTATTTAGCTAGATCAATCTGGCTAGAGTTCTATAATTTATTAAACTTTTTCTTTAAACAAATTCTTGCTTTTGCTTATTTTCTTTATAGATTTCCTATTTCCTTGACTTCTGCCAAGTCTCCTGGCTGTGAGGAAATACTTCCACAGAATCACTCTCTCCTTATTTATGTTTAATTGTTATTGTGACTTTGTTCTTTTCTTAATTTTCTGCTTCTCTGGGATTGTGTGTGTTGTGTGTGTGTGTGTGTGTGTCTGTGTGTCTGTGTGTGTTAGCTCCTCAGTCGTGTCTAACTCTTTGTGACCCCATGGACTGTAGCTTACTAGGCTCCTCTGTCCATGGAATTCTTCAGGCAAGGATACTGGAATAGCTGTTCCCTTCATTAGGGCATCTTCCCAACCCAGGGATCGAACCTGATTCTACATCGCAGGCAGATTCTTTACTGTCTGAGCCACCAGGGAAGCCCCCTCTCTTGAATTAATTGACCTTAAATATGATTCTATTTTCTGTTTTATCTCCTTTGGCTTAATAGTTGTTCTCTTTTGTCTCAATTTTAGTTTTCCCTGTCAGTTCAGTTCAGTCACTTAATCGTATCTGACTCTGTGACCCCATGGACTACGGCACGCCAGGCTTCCCTGTCCATCACCAACGCTTGCTCAAACTCATGTCCATCGAGTTGGTGATGCTATCCAACCATCTCATCCTCTGTCATGCCCTTCTCCTCCTGCCTTCAATCTTTCTCAGCATCAGGGTCTTTTCCAAGGAGCTAGTTCTTTGCATCAGGTGACCAAAGTATTGGAGCTTCAGCTTCAGCATCAATCCTTCCAATGAATATTCAGGACTGATTTCCTCTAGGATTGACTGGTTTGATTTCCTCTAGTCCAAGAGACTCTCAAGAGTCTTCTACAGCACCACAGTTCAAAAGCATCAAGTCTTCGGCACTCGGATTTCTTTATGGTCCAACTCTCACATCCATATGTGACTACTAGAAAAACCATAGCTTTGTCTAGACGAACCTTTGTAAGTAAAGTAATGTCTCTGCTTTTTAATATGCTATCTAGGTTGGTCATAGCTTTTCTTCCAAGGAGCAAGCGTCTTTTAATTTCATGGCTGCAGTCACCATCTGCAGTGATTTTGGAGCCCATAAAAATAAAGTCTGACACTGTTTCCACTGTTTCCCCATCTATTTGCCATGAAGTGATGGGACCAGATGCCATGATCTTAGTTTTCTGAATGTTGAGCTTTAAGCCAACTTTTTCACTCTCCTCTTTCACTTTCATCAAGAGGCTCTTTAGTTCCTCTTCACTTTCTGCCATAAAGGTGGTGTCATCTTTCTATCTGAGGTTTTTAATATTTCTCCTGGCAATCTTGATTCCATCTTGGGCTTCAAGCACTGGTACAGAGACCAGCCTCCTAAAGGAAAGTTGAAAAAAAATATATATATAGTATATAATGTTTGATGGCATGTATTACTGTATAGAACATATTAAAAATATCTATCTATTTGCAATAAACAATTCTGATACCTGCCTTACTTCCCCTTTCCTCTCTGCTTTCCTGGATCCCACTCTTTCACTCCGTTTCATAATCGCTTCCTTCCTCTCGCAGTGAAGAAATGCCCTGTGTGGCTCTTCTCACTCACTCTGCAGTAACCTGTAATATCCATCCACACAGCTGTTTCCTATTCCCTTGTGGTTTCTTGCTGTCTGTTTCGAAAGTGAAAGTCACTCAGTCATGTCCAACTCTTTGGAGATCCCATGGACTATACAGTCCATAGAATTCTCCAGGCCAGAATACTGGAGTGGGTAGCCTGTTCCTTCTTCAGGGGATCTTCCCAACCTCGGGATTGAACCCAGGTCTCCCACATTGCATGCAGATTCTTTACCAGCTGAGTCACAAGGGATGCCCAAGAATACTGGAGTGGGTAGCCTATTTCTTCTCCAGCAGATCTTCCCGACCCAGGAATTGAACTGGGGTCTCCTGCATTGCTGGAGAAGGAAATGGCAACCCACTCCAGTATTCTTGTCTGGAGAATCCCATGGACAGAGGAGCCTGGCAGGCTACAGTCCATGGGGTTGCAAGAGTCAGACACGACTGAGTGACTAACAACAGCTCCTGCATTGCAGGGGGATTCTTTACCAACTGAGCTATCAGGGAAGCCGGCTGTCTATTTTACTTGAGCAGAAAATCTCCAATTCAAATAAAAAATTGTGTGAAAGTTCTAGGTTTCTCAGAAACTCTCACATGACAGGCATTTTTCTTTTCTTTTTCTCTTGATGAGTATTTTTGGAAATGAGTGAATGACTCTGTTACAATGATGCAATGTAGCTGTAGTGAAAAGGAAATAGAAAGCAGGATCCATTTCACTTAGAATTTTCTAAGGGAGGAATGCCACCTGTTGGCCAAGATGGATAATGACATCAACTGATGTGAAAACCTGGTTTCTGTTCTAGGCAAAAGTCTTGTCCTCTAGCAGGAGATTTTTCTTCAGAGTTGAAAAGGTGTTTTCTTGGAAAGAACTATCTCTAATAGTCTGGGAAGCCTACTTTACTCATTTTTAAATATTGTTTTTTAAAACAAATCTTTTTAAAAAGTAATTTTTGTTGGCGTATAGTTGATTTACAAAGTTGTGCTTCTGCTGTACGGCAAAGTAGATCAGTTACATATATATATGTGTGTGTGTGTGTGTGTGTGTGTGTACACATACAGGAGGCGAAGGGGACAACAGAGGATGAGATGATTGGATGGCATCACTGACCCAATGGACATGAGTTTGAGTAAGCTACAGGACATAGTAAAGGACAGGGAAGTCTGGCGTGCTAGTCTCTCAAACATGCCAAAGACAATCTTTTTATTTATCTACTTAAATATTTATCTTTTAAAAATATTTATTTGACTATTTAAAGGAATTAAAGCACTTTTATTTATATATTTGTGTACTTTTACACTGTAATAAAATGTGTCCATAATTAGCTTATTCTTCTGTTTATTAAATTTTTATTATACAAAACTTCTTATACTTTTTATTTTTGAAGGAAAAGAAATTTAAAAATAGCAATCATACTTAATGCAATAATGGGCTTCCCAGGTGGCTCAGTGGTAAAGAATCTGCCTGGTAATGCAGGAGATGTAGGCTTGATCCTTGGGTCAGGAAGATCCCCTGGAGTAGGAAACGACAACCCTTTTCAGTATTCTTTCCTGGAAAATCCCATGGACAGAGGAGCCTGGTGGGCTATAGTCCACGGGGTTGCAAAAAAGTTGCACATGACTCAGCAACTAAACAAAAATAATAACAATGAATGCAATCATAATAAGAAGAAAAACAAATGAATTCTCTCACTAAGAGCAAGAGTGGAGAAATGTCAGGAAATAAAAGCAAAAGCAGTAGATATTTCTCTAGTTAACTGGTAAACATTTATATGCAAATATCATTTGTTAGTTGGATGTGTGAGTTTGTAATTTAAAAGGATGTGATGGATTCTGAAATAACAAAAATTATACTCAATATAAAGACTGAGACTTTCTTCAAAAAGGAAAGTGGGAAACTGGATCAGGCAACCTCTTTCTCAAAACTTAAGATAAAGGAAAAGAAAATGGTCTGTTGAGGTCCTTTAATGGACCGGAACCTGGTGGTCCGGAGTCCACGATAAGAAAGTAAAAGAAGGAAAGAGGCTAATATTCCTGGGGTTACGCAGCAGGCCTTTGCGCTTCAGGGAATTGGCCAGAAACAGAGAGATAGAGAGAAAGAGAAAGACAGACACCAGGACCCAAGCTCTGATGGAACAAGGGTGCTTTATTCAACATAGTGTGAGAATATATACTATCTTACAAGGTAGTCTTTTTCAGCAAAGATAAAGATCAAAAGTCCAGACTTAAAATTATCAAGGAAACATAAGGCAATCCATATCAAAGAGAGGGGGTTGTAAATAATCACTTTTACCATATGGTTCATAAAAAGAAAGAGGGTCATAAATAGTTACTTATCACCGTATAGAGAAACTAAGGAAGGAAATGCATGCATTCCTCAGTCCCAGGAGCAGCGTGCCACTCCTCTAAATTCCTGAATATTCAGGAATTAATAAGGAACAAAGGGTTCATGACAGATCCAAAACAGCACACAGGAAGCCTCCTGTTAAACGTTTCCTGACAATGGTCAAAATCAGCTCAAAAGCAACACGAACCATCAAAATCTATAGAGCAAGAGAGTGTTGTATTTAATTCAGGAGTAAGAACAGATTTAACAATTGGAACAGAAATTCAGAATACAAAGCTCACAGAGTCACCCGTAACTCACAATAAGGAATTTTTCATTGAAATTCCATCCTGTTTGGACACATGTTTGATGTTAAGAAACCCACTTAATCTAAGCCTCAGCTTTTCCATAAATAAAACGGGTTCAAAATATTTAGAGTTTTTGTGAATATTAAATAAACCTAGGCACTTAAAGGCATTTAGCATCATTTATTAGAGTAAGGGATTAAAATATGGTAGGTATTTTCCTGTTTTCCTTCAGATAGCTATATAAGTAAATATTATTTGTCTCTATAAAATTCTCAGGAACCGTGACCTACTTTTCAGTAACTAACCTCCAAGGAGTCAGCCTAAAAAAAGAATTCTGTAATGAATTCTACAGAAGGCTGAAAAAAATGTCATTTTCCCCCCTCATTTCAAAGAAGTGTGTCATTTTTGTTCAGAGGTGAAATGGTGGCTTGTATCAACATCCGAGAGAGGGGAACAAATATTTAGATAAAGGGCAGAAGAACATGTTATCTATTTAACGGTCTGGCTTCTGGTGCATTCTCTTCTCAGCATTTCAGGATACATTCCCATTTCACAATACTGTCTTCCCCTCCAAGGTGGAAATCCCCATACCACCCTTCTCATTCACTTTTTTACCTCTCCACCATTCACACAATTGCTTTCTGCTGTTTGATTTCCACTTAAAGGTGTCCCTGAAAAGCAGAACAACACGAGTAGAAAGCAAATGTTAAATAAAATGTCTAGGTTTTGTAGAAACATCTGCGAGAGAGGCTTTCCTTAATTTTTATTGAGTATGATGTAACAGTGAATGATGAATGAGTGAAAGTCGCTCAGTCATATCTGACTCTTTGTGACCCCATGGACTGTAGCCGGCCAGGTTCCTCTGTCCAAGGGATTCTCTAGGCAGAAATACTGGAGTGGGTTGCCATGCCCTCTTCCAGGGAATCCTCCCGATCCAGGGATCGAACCCTTGTCTCTTTACATTTCTTGCACTGGCAGGCAAATTCTTTACCACTAGTGCTGCCTGGGAAGGCCCCTCCTATACTGTAGCTGTAGCTAAAGAGAAACAAAGTAGGACCCAGCTTTTAGGTGTAAGAGGAAAGTCCTTTCAGGGGAGACAGCCCTCTGGCAAGTGCAACAAGAGCAGCGACCATGATCAGAGAACAAGCTTCTGAGCTGTGCAGAAATCCTACTGCTTTCTGGGGACGTCCCTTCATGGTACAAAATGGCTTTCTTGGCACCAGTAGATTTTGATGCCGTCACAAGCTGTTTCTTTATTCTTGTCTGTTACTACCAGAGTCTCCAGAGTCTCTGGCTTCAGACAGGGCACGGACTCTTTGGGATGGAGTCGTTAAAGGGACAAAGATATGTCCGTGGTCTACAAACTACTCTGCAGACCAGAGGCTCCCATTGAATCACTCCTTCCCTGTACTGCACAACAGGCAGAGCTGTCAACCTGGATATGGAGTTCAATAAGAATCAAGAACACCTCAGATTTACAGTGCATTAAACAATTCTCAACAGTAAAATTTTAGTTTCACAGATTTATTCCAAATATCAGACTTCAACTATCATTAAATAGAAAAATGCTCTCATTGCTACTTCAAATAACAATCTTTAAAAAAAAAAAACCTCCCATGATAAGATATATTTATGGCTGAGCCTGCTGCATTAAATATGACTATATCATATTAATACCTCTCTATGAGTCAGCATACACTCTTGCAATAATTCTGTATCCTCTGAGCATTTTGGAGTGATTTTTATAGGTATTATGAAAGTGAAAGTGAAGTCATTCAGTCATGTCCAACTTTTTGCGACCCCATGGACTGTAACCTACCAGGCTCCTCTGTCCATGGGATTTTACATGCAAGAGTACTGGAGTGGGGTGCCATTTCCTTCTCCAGGGGATCTTCCCAACCCAGGGATCAAACCCAGTTTTCCCGCATTGTAGGCAGACGCTTCACCATCTGAGCCACCAGGGAAGTAATATAGGTATTATAGTTGAACTATAAATTCAATCAGTGCTTCATCATTTACCCATCCAAATGACAAACTAGGGGGAAACATAGGAAAACACAATCATAATTTTCTGACTTAGAGTCAAGATTAATCATAATCTTGACATCTGTTCTACCCAGTAGTAAAAATTCTGCCCAGATAGCAAGAACGAAGTGTGATATAAGCTAAGGCTTGTGAATTAACAGTATCATTTCTACCTGGGAGCTTAGTGACATTTTCTTAATTCAAATGTACCAATTATGGTATAAACTGAGAGGAATTTCTGTAATCAGCATTTCCAATGAGGTATTTCACTGGGAAGTGTGTGTGAATTGCTAAGGTAGCAGGGGCTGTAACTGGGTGGGTGTGTGGTTTGGGGGGGGCAAATGAGGTGTTGTCTCCAATCTTTTCCTGAGGTCACTCACTCAGCATCTGGATTACTGAGTAAAATTTCAACAGACTTCTGTCCTTTGCTGTCTTGCTCGCCCCTCTGGAGGAAGGGAGGATGGGAACATTTAGTAAATGGAGAAGATTTGAAAACATTTGGCTTCCCAGCCTGTATTGGTCAAGGTTTTCCAGAAACAGAACCAGCAGGGACCAGAGAGAGTAATTTAAGGAATTTGCTTAGGTGACTATGGACCTGGCAAGTTCAAAATCTGCAGGGAAGGCCGCAGGCTGGAAACCCAGGGAAGAGCTGCTGCTTGAGTCCAAAGGCAGTTCTGGAGGAATTTCTTCTTATTCCTGGGAGGGTCAATCTTTTTCTATTAAGGCCTTCAACTGATTGGATGAGGCCCACCCATAATATGGAGGATAATATGCATTACTCAAAGTCTACTGATTTAAATGTCAAATTACCATAATCTCATGTAAAACCTACTTTCCAGAAACATTTAGAATAATGTTTGACTAAGTATCTTGGTATTGTGGCCTAGCCAAGTTGACATAAAATGAACTATTACACTGTTCTTCCCTAATTCAAGACCTAATACTTTTCAAATATTATTCCTCTCCTTTCTTTGATGAATGCTTATGTATTTTGTATATTTTACATAATTTTCCTTATTTTATTGGTTTCTGGGTGAGGAAATTCTGAGATCAGGCTTCATTCAGTCAACTTGCCAGGTAAGTCTCTATAGCCATGTCCTTCATCATTTGAAGTTAAAAACATGTATATTTTTTAAAAAGCCAACTTTTTATTTTGGTTAGCTATTTCTCATGGTTACAATGTTACCCTCGATCCCCTCTCTCCTTTTTAAACCTACTCTCAATGCCAATTCTCCATTCCATCATGATTTTACTATCATATATGATATGTATTCTCATATGCAGAATACATCATGCAAAATGCTTGGCTGGATGAAACACAAGCTGGAATCAAGATTGCTGGGAGAAACATCAACAACCTCAGATATGCAGATTATACTACCCTTATGGCAGAAAACGAAGAGGAACTAAAGAGCCTCTTGATGAA